AAAAAAAAAAAAAAAAAAAAAAAAAAGAATCTAATTAGGGGTATAGACTAATTAATAATAATACGTATCATTATGTTATTAGGGGGGAAATAGCAAATGTTTTAAATAAAGTGCTTTCTATAAAATACCAACATTTTATAAAAGATCTTCATTTATCTAAGCAGATACATCATTTGTGTTCACTACTCATACTAAATATTTTCAGCTGAAAGTTGCTATTTTAATTCCAAGTATTACTAAAAATTAATCACTGATTTCTATAATGGGACCACGCAGACATTTTTGTGAGATTATCCCACTTGCAAAAAACTTTAACAAAAATATCTTTACACCAGTATCTACTAGCTGTCACTCAAATTTCCTGTAGGATTTTCATGAACTCCTTTGGGATTTCAATAAATATTAATGAAAACATTTGCAAGAGAACTCTCAATATTAGGTCAGAAAAATTTTTTCCAAAAATAATTTGTATCATTTATCAACACTGATATTCGTGAATATGTCGAAAATATTTCTGGTGCGGCCAAGTACCAATTAGTCCAACTCTATCTAGCTGGAGTAGTTTTATGTTAGTCAAGGTCAATTTGTTTAACTTGTGGTTAATTTTTTCCCAATGTTCTTGATTATTCCAGCTTGTACATAAATGTACATATCCCCATTTATTTACTAATTGCCAAATATGTGTGGTGAATGTTATTATTCTGGACAATGGTCTATATTAGGCCTTCTCTCAAATTATGACTGTAAACTGCTGGATCTCCAAATAGGTGGACTAGGCCAAAGGGTTCACTATTTGGGGGAGCAATTAAGAAAATGAAGATTTCCTCACACGTTAAAAAAAAATTATTATTCACTAAGAATTAGTATACAGTTGTTTCCCAACACATTTCTCAATCACTGATCCAGTTTTGAGAAAGCCTGTAACAAGGCAGATGATGACTGCTCCAAGAAAGTCCATATAATGGTTTATTGTGCAATTCAACACTGTTATGCCATCTAATGGGAAGCCTGGCATTTCAAAGTTTTCCCAAAAATATATTAAGAAGAATAAGCCAGTGATCCTTATGACAGCCTAAAAGACTTAAGGCCAAATATTTAATACCTAACACTAGCTCCCATGTATTGAGTTATTTCTATGCACAGTGTTATTTCGTAGACATTATCTCATTTAATTTTTACAATCAGCATATAAAATTGGCTACTATCCTCTTTTTACACACGAAGAAACAAAGCTAAAGAGGTTTAGCAACTTGCCCTAGTTGGTAAGCGATAGAGCCAAGATCATAAACGATACAGGCTGGACTTCAGAGACCCTGCTTTTATCACTGCCCTGTTCTGCCCCAGTGACCTGGGTCCACAGGGGTTCCCAGATAAATCAGGGTCTCTGCTCTCAAGGATCAAATAGCCAGATAAAATGCCTACCCAAATAATTATAATTTAAGGTAAAATGGAATAGTTGGCCTATGAGAAGCCCAGATCAAGAGACAAGATAGTTCAGATGAATACAGATTACTTCAAAATGAACTAGGGAACAGGGGTAAGACTCTTCCTCTGGGATGGGTTGGGTGGAGGGTTAGATGAAGGACAGTAAAGTAATATAATTAGTATTTATGACATGCTATTCTATTTGCCAGGCTTAGAAGCACCGTGTATGACACCTGGCATTTGTTATCTTCTTTGGTGTTCCAAACAACCATACAAGCACTACCCCCACATTGCATAAGACAAAGTCAAGCAGTGGCTTAACTAAAACTTAAATGCAGTGCCCCAGAACAATAGTCTGCCCTTTTTCTTTCTTTTTCTTTCCGTTTTTTTAAAAATTTTTATTTTTGTTTGTTTGTTTGTTTTGATCCACCTTTTTGATATTTATGATGTACAGGCACTTTTTGCTAATTCATCAGCCCAAAAAGAGAATCTTTCCTAATTTGCACAAACAAGCCTAATACCCTAGATGACTAGATGCAGGACAAAGCAAAGGAATCCACAAAGGAGCCTCAACTATCCTGTCTGTGAGGGATTTTCTGCCAGATTCAGTTGAAGGCAGGAGATCAGGCTCAGCTAGCTCCTTTGTTATTTCCTTCTCTTCCTCTCTCCATTTCTGCCTCCCTCCCCTTTTCCTTCCTTTGTTCTTTCTATAATCAGTTGTTCAGAACTACCATATTTCAGGCACTGCGTTGGGCTATGGAAAACTCAACAGACAAGGTCTTTGCCTTTGTTTAGCTTCATGCGAGGCAGAAGCTGTATTCCACAGTGGTTAAAGTCAGACTGTCTGTGTGGTCACCCCAGCTCAGCCACTTACCAGCAGTGCCAGTTGGGCAAGTTATGTTAATTGTCTGTGCCTAAGTCGCTCTTCACTAAATATGGATACAGACAGACCTACTTCACAGGGTTGCTATGTGCTATCAGAAAGTAGTAGCACAGTGCCTAGCATATAGTGAGCATTACAGAGATGTTGTTATAGTTACTACATTCTTGGGCTTCTAGGAATGAGTGGATTGGTCTGTCCAACATGTGAAAGAAACTGCAGCTCAATCTCTTCTCTCAAAAAATGGAAATTAATTCTTTGGAGAAGGTAATCTTCAAGGAAGGAGCATCCTTGCCTCACAGCAAAGAAAAAATTCCCCACTACTTGTATACACAGGGTCACCCTCAATGGTCAAAAGAATGGGGCTGAATATGCAGGTTGCTATGGCAAGGTAGCCTTCTGAAATTTGCTTTTTAGCAGATTTTAAAAACATTTCTTACAACTGCTAAATCCCTTTTTCGTCACTTGAGATATATGTCTTTTCCATTAAGAAGAGAAAGAAATTGACCGAAAAGCAAATAGGATAGGAGAAAGATTAACCTGTATGACTAAATGTGAATTTCTTGAGAGCAGAATTCTAATTTCTTTTATCTTGGTAATCCCAGTAGGGTGTCGTGAATGATTTCAGGGACTAGAAATAGCTAGTCTATATTCTAGGTGTTTTCCATATACTTTATTCCTCACAAGAGCACTTCAGGGTGGGTACCACCAATCCTGTTTTATGTATAAGAAAAAACAAAGCCGAGATTGTCACATACAGAATTAAAAGCAAATTCAGGAGACACCATTTTATTTCAGATCTCCAGGAATGACTATGGACAAGGGACATTTTTTTAAGTCAGTTTGCCCTCCTCCCCTTTAGGGTTAGGGTTAGGGTTAGTGGCTCATGGCCAAAAATATAAGCTAGATATTATAAAAGAGTAAACGCATGCTTAGAAATAAACTAAGCATTTATAGGAGGATGCACTAATTTGGAAACCGGGAAATGGGTGCTAAAATTTCAGATCACCTAACATTATTAAAATATTCCTTGGGGGAAAAAAAGGAGTAACTAGCTACAAACTACTGACGTGAATATCTGCAAAAACCAGTTGCTGACTTTACGAGTTGTTACACAAGACACCGAGTTGCTTAAGGTTATAAACCTTCCTTTTCACTGAAATCATTGAGCTGCCCCCTCATCTAGACTGGTTTAAACGTAGTGTGCTCAGAAGCAAAGTACAGCTAGGATTGCTTCACCCGGGGCTAAATATAAGTCACCCTGTTCAACCCTCATCTGCCCTCTGCAGCCCCCACCCAACTCTGATTTTTCAGCCACAATCCCCCAAATGCACACTTAGTACTTGGACAGCACACTCAAGCAAACCTGTCAAAGTTTGCAACGGTCTGAGCTCTGATTGGGTTTAGCCATGAAGCAAGGGGTGCAGAAGGAAAGGGCATCTAGTGCTCATCATTTCCCCCTGCCCAATCTTTTTCATGTCACCTTCATCACTTCCTGCTATTTTATTCCTCTGTCCTCTTTTGGACCCCAGAAAAGAGGTTACCATAAAACATTAGCCTTCCTATTGCCAACAGTCAGTCCTTACTCAACGCAGTCCAGTCCCCCTTCTCCAGGAAAGGGAGTCAAAGAAACACTTGCTAGAGAAAGCGCTCCAAGTGTCTTCTCCTATGTTGGGCGTACGTATTTAATTTCCCAGTATGTGGAACCACAAAATTCCCTCCCTAGCCCTACCGGGAAAGTGGCCTTGGGCACGACCGCCCTTGCCTAGACAGTCTGCAATCCTTTTCGCGGAACTAGGGCAGAAAAGCGGGCGGAGAGGGGAGCCGCTGCCAGCATCCGCTAAGAGGCAGCTCGCACGTGGGCGGGCTCGCAGCCTGCCGCGCTATCTGGCCGGGACTGGCACCCCCAGCGTGGCGCAGCCGCCCAGGAAACCCAGCCTGAGCTCCCCTTGGCAGCGCTCTCCTTCTTCCCGGGCGCAGGCCTCGCCCGCACACACCTTTCCAGCCGCCGCCACCCCCGCCATGCTTCCAGAGGCCGGAAAAACAAGGAAGACGACCCCCTGGTATGTCGTCCCCTCCTCCCAGCCTCTCTGAGCTCGATCATCTGTTAAAAGAGGAGACGTTCCCTACACACACTCCCACCAGCCCGTCTCCACCTCCTGTGGCCACGACGCCACTCCACCCCCGGAGCTAGGGGTTTCAGGGCGGGATGTTGTGAGGTGCACACGAGCGACACCCCAGGCGGAAGTCCTGCGGGCCAAGGAGAGGGGAGAGCACCGCACCGGCCGAGTCTGGGTGCACAAACCCAGAGCCTGGGCACCTCCCGGCTTTTGGAAAGCACGCGGGGCGCTCCCCGCCCGGGCCCCAACGGCCCCAACGGCCCCAC